AGATTGTAGATAATTATAGATGATAAACTTCCATTACATGGAATCAATAATGCATTAGATGCCTAGCTACATACATTTAAAAAGATGCATAAGAGAATGGATAATAATAACACTACTAGAATTTCTCTTATTACATGTGACTTTTCCTGCGAATTTTTATGAAAAATTTGCAAGAAACGTTGTTCTTACAAATTTTTCTGCGAAATTTTATTTGCAGGTAATACCTTCATGAATAATATATTTTTGCGAATTTTAAAATTCGCAGGAAATTTTCCTACGAAATTTCTAGCGAAAAAAATTCGCAAGAAAGTTTCCTACAAAAGAAAAATTTGCAGGAAAATTTGCAAGAAAGTTTTCTGTGAATTTTTTCGCAAGAAAATCTACAGGAATATTGTTTACAAAAAAATTAAAGAAATTACTATAAATTCTATCAATAATTCTTCAACTTTTAAATGCTCACAATGAATTCATCCGAAGCATTTGTTTACATGCCTCGAGCATGTGATACATAATCATTTAAATTCTAAGATTATAGATTATAAGTCTAACACTAAACCGTACAAATCAACTTGTAAGGTTGCCCCAACTTATATACTCTTTAATTGTTTTATTTTCGATGTGGGACTTGAAGTTTTTTTAAAGTATTAAACTTATAAATTTAAATATATTTTTTATTTTTTCTACGGATTAAAATTTGCAGGAAAATTCGCAAGAAAAGTTAGCTGCAAATTTTTTTTACCATTTAGTAAACATTACTTGCGAATTTATTTTTGCAAGAAAATCTGCAAAAAAAAAAATAAAAAATTCTTACACTATTTTCTGCAAATTTTTACCATGAATTTTTTTTATGATCATTAAAATTGTAGAAAAATTTACAAAAATTTCTTGTAAATTATTTTTTGTAAAAAAATTGTAAGAAATATCTATAAATTATTTTTCACAAATAAATTTGTAAAAAAATTTGCGAAATTATTATTGCAAGAAAATTCACAAAATATTTCTGCAAATATTTTTTTGTAGGAAAATTCGCAGGAAAATGACACTTTTTTAGTAGTGTAATTACATAAAAACTACACATAAAACACATGGAAATGAAAAAAAAAAGTTTCTTTGTTTTAATTTATACGACAAGAAAAAAATATCGGAGTAGTGTTGAATTATTATTAATCTCTAAATTATTAATTATTTTAGTGAAAAACTTTATACGTGATGTTTAAGTCTTTATAGGAATTTAACATCTCATAATAAAAAGAACTTACTATCAAGATTAGATACTAAATTCATATTTGTAATAAGTTATATTGTTATAAATTAATTATCCAGATCAATATGTATATTTTCAAAATAAAAATGTGGAAGTCAACCAAACCTGTTCTATAAAAGCACTAAACAATTTTTTCCATGTAAATTCTTAAGGAAAGAATTCTAACATCTTTGAAACACTTATTTATTTATTTGTTATTATTAATATTAAAAGTGAACTTTGTCATAGAATAATGAGTATGCTAAAGTCCTAAACACAATGTAAGATATTCTAACTATTTTTATCATGCATGGCTATAAAAGCATAAACATTGTCATAGCCATTTGAAGCATGATGAGATCTACCCAACAAGAATAGAGAACATAATTTGTCTCCTTGGGACACAGTTCTCTCTTATATAAGTTTATAAATTCTTATTCAACAACTTCATTAGAAGAGCAACTCTTTTTATCTTCATCATAAAACCCACAACAACGAAAGAGTGAAAATCCAATGACTTTTGTATACATAACATATTGCAAAGCCATAAAAGGAAAACAAAAACAAGATCAGATGATATATATGAAAGTAATTAGATGATAATAACATAGCCTTCTCGTGATGGACCATCACTCTCCACCCTCACGAATGTCTAAGTTAGCAACATTTATCCATACTTTTTCTTATTAGTTTCTTCTTACAAGAAGAGATATATAACAAATGATATGTTAAAAAAGTCAAATCTTTAACTTAAAGAAAAGGCAAATTTGTAGTGAAAAGATAAAGAACATACGAGTCTTGCATGAAGGCATATAGAACAGGTGAGAATACACAATTATATTTTTACCAGCCATGCACGCACACCTTCTTTTAAGTAGGCTGTGGCTTATTTACGTCGGTCCCTTTAAGGTTCGACGTAAATATTAACATCTACGTCTGACACAATGTATAGCCGACGTAGATGTTAAAATTTACGTCGGTCCCTTAAAGGTCCGACGTAAAAAAGTCATAAAAATTACGAAACATGCCACCGCATTTTTATTACGTCGGGTGTTTGTATTTTCGATGTAAAATGGGTGACGTAATATCCTAATTTTCCACTAGTGTGTATTTTGATAAGTATATGAAAAGAAAGGAAAAAGAAAGGGACGAGGATTTGCTGTTACCAATTTTACGAACATGGATTGTGGGAGAAGTGGGTTGTACTGTGTGGAGAGATGTGATTTTAAAAGAAAACTTTTTTGTTTTCCATTAATATCTAGTTATGTAACCATACAAATTGTTGGGATGCAAATAAAGTCTCACATCGTTCAAATAAGAGGATGAACACGAGTTTATATACATAATTATCTTTATTAGTTGAGAGGCTTTTTAGGTAGTATTCAAAAGCAAAATTGTGAAGGACAATATCTTACTAATGTGGAGGTATGTGTATGTGTATAGCAACCCCCAATGCGCTCAACACAAATTGACTAAAAGAGTATGAAATTAGTAAAATGTTTAAGGTTTAGGGTATTCTTTTTATATAATGTTATAAATTATTATTATTATTATTATATATTATTATTACTGGTGGATGGGATAAAGGTATTTCATGCCCTATTTTTTTTTTTTAAAAAATAACTGTGTATAATTGTGTAATATATAATTATTTAATGAAAATTTTCATTTGTAATAGGAATGTAATGTAAAGTTATTTAATGAAATTTTCATTTAAAGAACAAAATGGTCCCATTAAAAATAGAGATCAATGATAAAATTATATATTAGATTAATATTAGAATTTAGAACACCATATCAATGTTTATAAATCACTATAATCACTTACTTCTTTTAGACATCTCCATAATGAATTTGGTATCACAATGTTGATTATGTACTCACTTGTGTACGTTGAAAACAACTCTTCTAGCATAACTCTCTTATGTCACCATTGCCCCTTGGATGAAGCAAAAATGATAGTCACATAACCTATATAAGTGTCTAGTGAGATTCTAACATTGCAATTTCTGAAACTACAATGTAATTTCTATCCATTAGATATATTAAATCATTTAGGCCCCACATAAAAAAAACTTAGTGCACTTGCCTATTAAACTTGACCCAATAATTAGGTATCCTTATATGGTGATTTCCAAACATAAAATAGATCACATAATAAATTGGGTTACTAGGAAAATATATGTCAAATAATACTCTATCCATTTTCATAAAACAAAATTACATCAATTAATAGTAGTCCAAATAAATAAATAAAATTCTAACATTCTTCCACTTGGATTATATTAATTGGATTTCATTTATTTTGAAAACAACTCTTAGGTTGAACTATTGTGGTAATAAAACAACCTAAATATAATCACCATAAAAACATGATCAGTAACACCAATAAAATCACAAGGTAAGAGCCATGATAAAGACAAACTATTCAATGTTTGATTTGTCAATGACCACATAACTAACAATCTCATCAACATAAGCATAACACAAGTGTGAAAGCAGGTACACATCATAACACAAGTGTATGGATCTTACATTGTGTCTTCCCAAGAAAACACAACCAATCTCCTCAAGGAGATTATATATACATCATGTTTCTCGTGAAACATTATTTTCAAAAGGAATTAAATCATCTCGAGATAAATATATTTAATAGTCATTGTATTAATAATGTAAAATATCATTGCATAATAACATTAAAATTAAAAATAAAACAAGTTCAAGACAATAGAATAAACATACTAAATTATTACACTCCCATTAACTAAATACATCAAAGGACCTTACAATACCCATATTCTTAACATGTTTCATAATCACGATAATACTACAATAAAATTGATTATCACCGACAATTATTTAGTGGCAATAAATTAATTTTCTTTATTTTATTATTTAATAAAAATATTAATGACAAATATATAATGGCTACTAAAAATATATTTATATCATACCAAAATTTACTATTAGCGAAAATTATTTATTTAAAAAAATTTAAGTTCCAGATCGACTAGAAATAAGATAATTAAAGAATATATAAATGGATGATAACTCACACCTTACAAGTTTATTTTGTAGGGTTAAGTTAGACTTATAACTTACTATTCTAAGTTGATAAAATAATTAATTAGGATATAAGATAATTAAAAAATATATAAGTAAAAGACAATCTTCATCTTACAAGTCCCACATAGAGTAAAAACTAAAAAATATCACAAAAAGTTATACACTTTTTCCGACCATTATAAGGATTTTTACCAGCATTCAGAATAATTGCCACTAAATATTTTAGCGACACTACATATGATGACTATTGTAGAAATGCCGCTAAAAGATTTTGTAACAATTTTTATTATCACTAAAAACCATATTAAATACCACTAAAAATCTATTTTATTGTAGTATAAGTATAAGTCCTTTAGTTAAAGGATCAAGAAGTATTTTTTAAGTATATGCTTAACATGACAACAAATTTTCAATGACTTAGAAATGAAGTCTACAATTAAAAAATATAGAAAAAATTTCTTAACCATAAAACATGTGATATAGTCGTAAAACAAACAACAAACTCAGTTTTACATAGCAAAAGAAACTGTTAAAGTCTATTTTACAGATCGAATAGACATAGAGGTAACTCGATATCATCTTTCCACTTATAATTATTCATCGTCACATGATATAGGATGAAATGTCTATGCATTCTTTTACTATTTAAGTATAAATGATATATTTTTATATTATTATTTGTACATTGCAGGTTGCTCCTGCAGAGCTAGAACAGTTGCTAATGTCACACCCACAGATAAATGATGCCGCAGTTATTCCGTAAGATTCTACTCATACCTAACTAATTACCAAAGCACTTTGTAATAATTTTTTGCTTTTGTTTTTCAATGTTTAATTGAGAAAATATTTTTATAAGAAAAATAATATAAATACACCGATAATATAAAAATAGTTTCATTCAATCATAGATTACTGTATATGATAAAAATTCTGAGTTTTACAATATGTATTTAAAACACTGTAATTGACCGGCAGCATTTTTTATTTTTATTTTTACATATATCAAAATTAATCTCTTCTAAAAATACCTTCTTCAAGACAAATGTATTTTGTGGTACTTAATGTAATATGTAGTAAAGAAATATTTTTCATAATGACAAATTGTTAAAACGTACCAGACATAAAGCCATAAGGGAAAAATAAGTCGTCCTATTAAAAATTATATATATATATA